TAGCATTAAAGGGCAATTTTGGTATAAGCTTTTTGTTGTGTCCAATATGGATTAAGAGTGCAATGTTGGCAGCAACCACATAAGCCTCCGGTGATACGGCAAAGATTTTTATAATTTGAAATGTACAATCAGCTCTGACTATAATTTTCCCAAAAAAAGAGATTTTTATTAGATCTAGGACCTCTTTTTTTGGTAGGTTTTGCACTTAGTGCTAGTGGGCATAACCTTAAAAATAAGGAAAATTAATGCAAATGATTTTTTTTGCAGTATTTTTAGTTGGCATAAGAAATTGAAATCATACATTTTCAAAAAATTCCAAAAGAAAATCTCAAATAAAAATATCACCTTTGGAAGTGGGAATACAAAGGACATTCTAATAATTTCAAAGGATTTTGGGAGAAGTGTTCAATGTTTTCCATGTGATGTAGGTTGTTTCTTATAGCAGTATTTAAATGCTCAGTTTGGAAGGAGTACAAATACAAATATGTAGAGCACAAAACCTTGTATTTTGTATTATTTTGCATGTATTTGCACTGTACGTATTTGTATTTGTATTCTTTCCAAACTAAGTCAAAAGATTCAATCAAGGTTGCACAACTGTTGATTTAGGTAAGTATTACATTGCTATTTGGCTTACTTACAAAATTTAATTAGAAAAGAAATTCTTCAAATTTATCCTATAATACCTGTATATTCTATGTTAGGGAAAATTTCAGTATAGTATCTTGAACTTTAAGGGTAGTGTCAAGTTAATACCCGAACTTTAAAACGTGTCAATGTAGTACCCAAACTTTTGAAAACTATCAATTCAATACCCACCATTAGTTGTTCGTTAGTTAATTGACACACATGATGTCACATGTGATTTATAACATTCTGAAATTCCAAAATTACCCTTTTAAAGAAGACACCATTCATTGTCTTCTTCCTTGAAACTGAAATTAAACCAAAGCAACAACAATCTTTTCCTGCTTGTTCCTTAAAACTTCCTAGTATGACCCTCCTTGTTCCTAGAAAACCCATATTTGAGTTTGGACAACAACAACGATCGTTTCCTCATTGAAGAACCAGAGTTACTAATGCAAAGTAAGGTTTTTAAAATCGAATCAGACAACAAATTAGCTAGGGTCCGGTTCTCGGGTTGAATGGTCCAACCATTCAAATCGAATGGATGGCCCATTCTGACAAAAAAATAAAAAAATAAAAAACAGCCAAAACTGTTGGATAGTTCATATGGTTCAAACGGTTCGATTGCCCGGGTCAATGATTTGCTGACCAAATCAATGATTTTTGGTGAAGTGCATCGTCAACAAAAAAAACAAAGTTGTCGAGTCCATCATCACCGCCTGCTCTGATTGGAAACTCGCTCTCTTGACTTCCTCATCCTTGCCCCCACATCGCCGCATTTCTCTTGACCCACTTCCTCATCCTTTGCAATCCCTTCACCTCAGTTTTTCCGACTTTCCATCATTTTAGAACAATTATTCTAAACTACCTCATCCTCTGCAACCTCTTCGGCAGTTCCCTTGGCCTGGTTCATTTCCTTCATTACCAACTGCATTTTCTAAGTCGTTATTCACATTTTCTTGCCTTGAAAGCATTGAAGAATCTTTCTCAGCATCCCAAAACAATCCCTCAAGTTCATTGAACATAGCACCATATAGATTACCCATCAAGAATTCCGGTGCATCAGGGCCATTGAAACCATCATAAATGCCGATGAAGAGCCACCCATGTTCTTCAGACACGACGACCTGGCCCACTGAATGTTTCTTTCCCTCTGGTTCACCTCCATACCCTGACGCTAGACCATCTTTCCGGCTGACAAAATTAAGAACCGGCACCACCTAGGGTCATTTTTTGTCCAAAAATTTCCGGTAAAACGCCTTCCGAATCCCAGAAATCCCCTTCTTCCTCCTTTTTTCATGTAGATCCCCTTCTTCCTCATTCTTTTTTCATGTAGAAACCACCAAGTGGAGCCAAGAGAGGGACTCTCCCCCATCAGAAGCACTGGTTACATCGAGCAGATCGGATAGTGCGCCTCGCTCAATAGGCCCCAACATGAAGAACCCTCGCTCAATTTGATCCGATGCATCGCCGCCGCGTGGGATTGGCTGCAGCAGCAGAGCACTAAAAGACGAGGTGCTTTCGAAGCCGCTGACGATACTGGACTTTGGAGCACCAACGCATTCAGTGGCATCATCGTAAATAACGTCATGATGGAAGACAGTCCTGGGAATAAAAAATTATATAGCGTTCAAAGGGATTTGTGTCATTTCACATGCCATTAACAATTTTAGATTAAATTGACAGTTTTTGAAAGTTTGGGTATTGTCATGAAGTTTGGTACTAACTTGACACTACGCCAAAGTTTGGTACTAATTAAACTGAAAATTTCTCTTTTGTGTTAATACACTAAGGTAAATTACAAAGACGCCCCTGTACTATGGGGTCTGTGACAAAAACTCCCTTGTACTTTGGTTTGCAATAAAGACCCCCTTATACTACGACCGTAAAACAAAAACTCCCTTTTGTTAGCCTTCCGTCCAAAAAGGCCGTTGCAATATTTTTTAATCCCCATATTATCTTCGGATGAAAAAAACACTGTTCATCTTCCTCGACCTCACAATACACTAACAGTAGTGGCAATAATCTCCTCTACCTCAGATTCCTTCACATTTCTCTTTTCTTCCCCAACTCCCACGAAAACTTTAATCTACAGTAACTTCAGCCCCATCTATGGAGGATTACCAAAGAGGTAACACCTATCTTCTAGATTTTCTTTTTGCATTTTTGGCACTACAACTCATTTGACTTCATCGAGTCTCAATCTCGTTTATCGTCGTCTCCCATCTCGACCAAGCACACTGAGTTGGTATCTCTACTCACCACAACGGAGTTCACACCATTCAAGGTGAATTCACTAAAGAAACTTGGAGTAGTTATCGAATTCAACGACGATGCCGTGATGGGTGATTTTATTCAATCAAGAGGGATCGATGTGCTTAGTCGCATTATTGTCCAGATTCTAGTCGACAATTCCGATTTCATGGCATTCCGAGCTTGTGAGGAAGCTCTGGGTGTTCTGAACCAACTCCCATTATCTGATGAATCATCGATTCAATTGTTATCAAAGCCGGAATGCATGAAATCCATGGTGATTATGCTTCAACGAAGTAACAACAACCTCTTTGTAAACGCCTCTCTTTCCACTCGACCCTCTTGTTACTCTTCTTCGTCCTCGTCTGAGATTACCAAAGACGACGAAAATCTAAACCCCAATTCGTTTGAAGAGGACGAATTCGTTTTTAAGCTCAAGCGATCTCATGCATTCGAGCAAAGGAAGCTGTGATCTCTTTGAGGAAGGTAACAAGAACCCAAGAAGAAATTTGGACTATCCTCTGTATGCCTCGATTGCTGTCAGCCCTGCGACCTCTCCTGGTATCACGATATTCTACTATTTAGATAAATGCGGTGGCAGCATTGGTGAATCTATCCTTGGAGAAGATCAACAAGGTGAAGATCGTAAGGTCATGCAGGGGCTATACCACCATTGATTGATGTACTGAAAGGTGGATTCACTGAGGCACAGGAACACACAGCCGATGCCCTCTTCAAACTGGCGCTTGACGATGACAACAAAACGACAATAGGGGTTTTAGGGGCGTTGCCACCGCTTCTGCACCTGCTCTGTCCGAGAGCAAAGAATATTGTGAAAATGGGTTCAATCCCAACACTGTCAAGGGGAAAGGGGAAGAAGAGAGATCGGAGGAGAGGGAGAGAGAGGTTGAGAGAAAGAGAGAAATGTGAAGGAATCTGAGGTAGAGGAGATTACTGCCACTGCTGTTAGTGTATCGTGAGATTAGGAAAGATGAACAATGTTTTTCTCGTCAGAGGGTAATATGGGAATTAAAAAATATTGCAACGGCCTTTTTGGACGGAAGGCTAACGAAAAGAGGTCTTTTTCTCATGGTCATAGTTCAAGGGGAGGTCTTTGTTGCAAAACAAAATACAAGGGAGTCTTTGTAATTTACCCAAAGAATTATGTTGGTATATGAACTTGTTGAGGTGACATTACACTACCAGTCCCAAGCCCAAATATAAGATGTTTGTGTTAGATTGGCAGATCACATAAGAACTTGTATTTATAAACACTAGTGTGAGGGCACGAACTAGGCATGTGTGCAAGTAAAGGTAATGATATAAATTACGATGCAAAAAGACAAAAAGTTTTCAAATTTAGCTTTTATAATCTGTACCAAAATCAAAACAAGAACTTGTATTTATAAAGATAAACTCATAAAAGTTTTCAAATTTAGCTTAATCATTTTATGCCTCCATTGCCATCCCATCTCCCAGCAAAGGTTCAAAGTATTGAATTCAATGATGCGATGCATTAAGATTAAAAATGTTGCAAGGTGCCAATCCCCACCTGCACCTGGGTTAGAGGATAGGCTACCCCAGTTGTGTAGCCCTTTCAAACGATACCCAAAATAATGTTTCAATCTTCAGGCTCAGTTTGGAAGGAGTATATATACAAATTTGTAAAATGCAAAAACTTATATTTTGTATGTATTTGTACTGTAGATTACATATTTGTATTTGTAATCTTTCCAAACTAGGCAACAAGAATAATCAAGGTATCCCTGAGAAGGGTCATTCAAAATTCAAAAATGAAAAGTGGCCACATGTCCTAAATCCCCTTATTTAGCACATCATGTGGGTTCAAAACTGATACATATTGCTCGATACACACCAATACATTGCGATATGTTGAACTTTGCTCACGACAGTATAAAACTGGTTCACTTTGAGTCGTGTTTTGCTAGAAAACAATTTCATGGTTTTACTTGCAAAATAAGGAGACAAGGACTGAAGACAATGGAAAATTGCATCTAACACAAAGTGAATAACATGAAGAAGCTTATTTTTCAAAATTTTGCCTTTCTTCTGGGTGATGAAATGCATAAATTTGAACCATTTGATAGACGACAGCTAAATTCCATGGTAAAGAACCCCATTATCAATTCTACATGGCTAACTGGTTTGCAATGATAATACACCCATAAAGTCTCCTTCTCCATGACATGTACTGAACTACTAATAGTAACCTATGTCATTATTACCACTCTTTTTGATAGATGAAATATATCATTATTACCACTGTGGTTAGTCAAACTACATGCAATCTCAGACTGTTACAAGCTATTTGACAAGTATACATAAGGATCACAAAATTTTTCTACACTCCATCTCCAAAGAATATTCCTCTGGGCTTTCAGAATTGTTCATTGTATGCAAAAGTAAACATTCACATGATGAAGCTGTTTCAAACTCAAGGAATGTGAAGAAAAAGTATATTTACCTGAAAGTAAAAACTAATTAATCAGTATCATTACAAAAGTTGAAATCAAATCAATTATCAGAGCTAGGAATAATAACTCCCAGTGCTATAAAAAGTAAAGGAGGTACAACTTACAATGGAGCAACAGAAGGCATGCCTTGCATTTCACTGGAAGTTCTTTTGGACTTGTGCTTTGATTTTTTGTCCCGCTTCTTACTCCTATCAAACAAACCAATACCAACATCAATCCAAGGACAGAGAAGGATATTACAATCATGAAAATGATTTTGATGTATGCAAGTGTCTAGAAAGTACTCATCCTGTGAGGTTGGATCCAAACATGACTTGAGTTTCCGATCAATGTGCCTCATATCTTTGGTGGTAGGAATATTGAGTTTCCTCACCTGCACAAGAGGTCATTATTCAATGATGTAAAGAATGCATACTTGACAAGATGGAGATTATTGTTAGAAACATGTACATTTTGCTGCTAATCCCTGGGCATTGCTAAGAGTATTAAAGAGTAACAATTTGTAACCTGACAGTTCTATCAACACCTGAGGAGAGAGAAATAGAGGCTGCAACAGCAATCAAGAGCTTCTGAAACTTATACCACGAAATGGAATTTGATATGGCAGTTTCTCAAGATTCCAGCTTCTTGAGATGGTTATAGCAAGGTACTGACATGCATCTAAGGTACAACTCAAACTTGGTTTCACCGCCAAATTGATAGGCTATTCCAAGTCATTGATCAAGTCAGGCAGGGTCCTCCCTCCCTTAGGCTCAACTTTTTTTTTTTGATAGATAACAAAGACTTTTATTAATAGATATTAATAAAGAAAGATACAAAAGGAGGGGTAAAAACTCATAACCCTCCCAAGAAAGCAGTTCAGGTTACAGTATTGCCCAGAAAAAAATCTCTTCCCATCCCTTGTTTGGCCAATGAATCTGCCAAGGAATTGGCGCACCTCTTATCCATTGAAACTTGACTTCCATATTTTGTATGAGATGTCTAACTTTCTTCTTTTCATTTAGAAACTTCCACAAACTAGAATTATCTTTCATTAACCAGTTTATAGCCAACTTAGAATCACCTTCCACTATCAGTTTTTTGATATTTAACTCTTGAGCTCTTTTTAACCCTTCCAAAACAGCCAATATTTCATCTCTAAGAGAGTCCCCCCATCCAATAGAACCAGAATACAATGCAATAATTTGACCTTCATCATCCCTGAAAGCTCCCCCTATACCCGACAGGCCTGGATTTCCTTCACTAGTACCATCAAAGTTTAGTTTAGTGAACCCTGAAGCTGGAGGGGACCAAACTGGGTAAGATGCATTCTTCCTTGGAGCTGACCAAGCTACTCTCCACTTCCTGATGATATCTCCTTCTGAATAGTTTTCAAAAATTTGCAAAGTCTTAACCCAATGAATCACCCGTTGGTTCCTTTCCTCCCAGACTGTCCAATATACAGCTGTTCTTACACACCTCCACAGAATTTCCCTCTCTTCTTCAGCCCCCTAACAGTAGTAGAATGGAATAGGCTTTGTACATTTGAGGGGGGGGGGGGGGGGGTTCCACCTGCAACCAAAAAGATAGAAAAACCAACACTAGATTTCTGAAACAAATGAGCAAGAAACCAATAAGTGATAACAAATCTCACCATTCTTCTTACAAAGGATGCACCAGTGTGGGGATAAACACCAATTAGGCATTTTTCTTTGGAGTAATTTGCAAGTGTTACACTTTTCAAGGAAAACTTCCCAACAAAAGGCACTAATCCCTTAGGCTCAACTTTTAATGTAGTTAAGGAGTTCCTATGTTTCCATCAATGCTAAAAACCAGGATCTACACATCAAACTTGTAGGTTGGACAGAAAATCATGTATCCTACTGTTCTTTTTCTCCAAATCTGGAGGGTAGGACAATATTATATCAAGAAACCCTTAATCCCTTATAAAGATGAGCAATATCAATGCTAACAGCCGGGTTCAGTACATTGAATTTTAGTGGTTTACAATCAAGACTTGTCTATAATGCCACAATCTCGGATAAAGACCAAGACAGGCACTTCATTGTTGATTGTCCAAACCCTGATATCCACTAAAAGGTTAATATTTTTTTTGATAAACCATTAAAATATTAATAATCACTTAATTTTGCTTTATGTTGATGTAAAGTTTGAAAAATCGCAGTACTTTGAATTACTAGAGGTTATAAAGATATTTTTAGTACCCAGGAGTCTATGTCATCCAGTGATTCAGTAAGCTCCAAAATGCTATGTGCAGAATGTTGACGAGAGATGATGTTCTCCAGGTATCTGCAAAGATTTATGAAAATTTGGAGCAAGTTGAATAATTAGTTAGAACAAGAGGGCATTCCACATGCAAGAGAGAGAATATGAAATATGATGAGTGCATGATGGAAAAGCTTAGAACCTCTCAAAATCGAGGACTCTGTGTACCTCATTTGACCTACGTAGAGCAGCCAATGCTAACTGCATAAAACAAAAAGAAACATCATGAATAATAGCCCTTATAACCAAAACCAACAATTGATTTTTCAATCTGGATTTCCTCTGTAAGAGCAAGATCTCAAAAGATAGCCACCTTTTCAACTTCATTTAATTCTGAAGCCCACTAGAGCATGTCTACAGTTGAAAATGACATCAAAGAATTTATTCACCCTTCTTTGTTTACTAGCAAATAGTGACGGTGCATATTTAAATCAAACATTTTCTTTTAGCAGGAAACAAAGTTTTTTAATTGAAAATAAAATTGAAATATTCATATATGGAGTACAGGGAACAGTGCACCATATGCAAGAACTGTATGCAAAAGACAAAATTGTTTCTATACAACATTTTATATATGATCAAGGTATTATGGACTTGAAATGCCTTGTCCAAAGTCTTAAAATGCGTAAAATATAAGATACAGTCATGGGCAAAAGAACTAATATCAATACAAAGTCATAGCATCCTTCTTTCAGTTTTTTATTTATATTTCACTCTTTCCAAATTCTGCCAACAAATCCCAGCATGATCTCCAGTCTCCACCAGAAGCTCTTGGCCACCCTTCAGAAAGCTCCCTAGCATGAACACCTTTCCCATTAAGTCCTACTCCATATCTAACCTTTCTCAGGTTGCATACCTGGGGCATTGGCCATGCTGCTCTTGGTTATTTCATGCTATGGCAACCAAGATTGACAAAAACTCATCAAAGTGATTCATAATCTTTATTTGAAAGATCAAATAAATTTTATCCATTGTTAAACCTGTCCTATATTACAAATGTTTCCCAACAATCCTTACTACAGAAATAACCACTTTGGATGAACAACCTTATGCTACACAAGAAGTTTAATTGAAGAATACCTGTCCAGGAGGGAAGAGAAGTGGTGCATCTGTAAGCATTGTTTTATCTACCTCCAACTTGGAAGTTTCTCGTAAATCCTGTTAAAGTATCAAGATAGAAGCACAAAACATGTCAGTTGAAAAAAGGAAAAGAAAAAGCTGGTGAATGCGTTGCCTAGGCACCCTTGGTTGGGCACCTCACCTGAGCATCTAGACTTATAGCAAGAAGGCATTTGTCGAAGCAACCAGGTGCCAATCTAGGCAACAAGGAGCCCAACTAGATGATAACGTGCCCACTTAGGCGACAAAATCACAAGGTAGATGCCTTGTTATAATATTATTGCTATGGCTACATCTTGCTGACATGTATGTTTATACATTCTATTATATACTATATATGTCATTTACACTTCTTTTTGAAGTTATTACTTAAAAGTTTTAATTTTTAAAAAGATTCAAGGTTTTGAGATGGAAAAAAGAAAGAAGAGAAGGATAAAGAGGTTTCTTTTTCTTTTGTATTTTCTATTATCCCTCTCTCTCTCTCTCTTGCATTAAATAAAATGGTGGCTCCACCAATGTTCTTTTTCTCTTTTTTTTGATATAATTTAAAAAAGGTCACCCTTGACTTTTGTCTCCAGCTCACTTCTTCCCTAAAAATAAGTCTCTTCAGTTCACTTTCCAGTGCTTCCTTCTCCACCTTGGCTTCCTGAGAAGAGCTCCCTTCCTCTTCCTATAAGTAAGAAAGAACATAAAATGTTGTCCAATCAATACATTTTCTTCTTTTTCTTTACTAATTTTGTGTTTTTATATACTAATTTCTTCTTCTTCCACCTTTTCTTTTCTTCTATTCCTATAACAGAAATAGGGGTTCAGCCCCTATATTTTTCGAATTTTCTTTCTTTCTTCTTTTTCTTCTCATGAATATGTTGGAATATGTTGGTTTTCTATACTTTACCTGAAGTTTATACTTTTCTTATGAAAATTATGGATATTTATTAAAGAAATATGATTATGGAACCTAGGGAACTACCCTAGGATGCATGTTTTTACTTAAAAAATCCATCGCCTAGGCGACTAAGCGCCCCCTTGTCGCCTAGCCTCGCCTTGGTGCCTTGAAAACTAGGGGTCCAGCCACATATTTTCGAACTTAAATGGCTTTGTTCCTGATCTCTCAACAAACTTCCTCAATATAAGTTTATGATCTGATAAAAAAATATCAGTAAAGCTTCCTGCACCACACCCCCTACATGCTCCTCCCATTCCCCTGAGAAAAGAAACCTATCCAATTTCTGCAAGATAGCTGGATATTGGCCATTTGACCAAGTGAACCTACCTCCATTCAGTGGTGGATAGATTAATCCATTTCCTTTGATAAACTCCCTAAACCTCTTCATTCCCACACTTATTCTCCTCAGAAAAGAAACCTATCAAATTTCCGCAAGATAGCTGGATATTGGCCATTTCCTGATTCTACGAGCCACCTCTGTGCCACGCCCCTCGAGGCAAGCCCAAACAAGTCCATGTTAGGGTCTTAAATTCTTAGTTTTCACACAAAAAATAATGATTTTATAGTTTTAATTGTTTTTTAAGAAGATATTTTATTAAGATGAATGAATGAACAACATTACCTTTGGTGAGTGAGCGATGGACTTGTTTGGGCTTGCCTTGAGGGGCGTGGCATGGGGGTTCGGGGCCGGAGCCTCCGGCCCAACCACTAGAATAAAAAAAAGCAAAAAAGCGTCAAATTTTCAAAAGGCGCACACCTGAGCTGAGGCGCAAGGCGCACTAGGCGCACCAGGCATGCACCTTTTGAAAGGGCTACGCCTAGGACCTGGGCAAGGCACCTGCCCTAAAATGCGCCTTTTAAATCACTGCTCCAACACCAATCGCCCCCAACTTCCTAAAGACACATTGAAATCGAGTAAACATCTCTCCTTTCCCCAACCTTCTACATCCATCTAGGGTCCCATATAATCATCATACCGCCATCCAATCTCTAGCATCATAACCCCAAATCTCATTTTTTAAACTCATGTCAACAGACTCCAATTTTGTTTCTTGTAAAAGCACCACATCCAGCCTATGTCTCCTCAAAATGTTTCTCACAAAAGCTCTCCTCCTTTCCTCTCTTAATCCTCTCACATTCCAGCTTAATAATTTCATCTTCCTACCCCTCTCCTCCTTTCAGCAATAGGCTTCTCCCAGCTCCCTACTCTTCCCCTTCCTCTTCATCCCAACCTTCCTTCTCTCCAAACTTTCTTTCTTCTCACTCTCCTCCCTTTTGGCTTTCTCAAAATGTTCAAATGTTCTTCTAACAACACCTTCCCTTTCCAATAAGAAAAGCCCCAAAGACTTTCCAACCTCAATTTGTCTCTCCACCAAACTAGTGATCTCCACTCTTCCTTCCACGACTCCTTGGCTCCCAACTTTGTCTTCTCTCCCCCCCTGTCCCCTTTCGCTTCACCTGCCCCCCATGCCCCACCCTCGGTACCAATCTCCCCCTTCTCTACCTCAGTCCCCCTAGACTCCTTAACACCCATACCTTCTTGAGACACCTCCTTCCCATTTCTGTTATACACTTGCTGTAATTGGTCCCCACTCTCGTCCACACCATCAAGCTTCCTCTTCTTTCTCCCTTCCCTTCATCCTTTCCAGCTTTTCTCTCCTCTATCTTCCTCCCTACTTGATCCCCCTCTTTTGAGTTAGAGAAATTAGAAGATTCACTCACCTCGATAACCTTGAGAAGAGAAGAAACATTGACATGGGGGCCTGATGTAGTGTTGGAGGAGCCACTCACAATAGGGTCACTTGAATGCACCTCGTTTGCCCCTACTCCAACCACCCAATTCACCCCACCTAAAGAAGGCTCCATGTGCTGAGTGTCTGTGATCCGTATATGTTGTAATTTGAACACCAGACTCTTAGACAAGCCGAACGAGCCATGGACCAGACCCCGACCTCCTCTCCATTGTTTGAAGATCTTCCTTTATCCTTCGATGTGTGACATGTGTCTTCCCCCCTGTCGTTCCCTTACCACCCTCTCACTTGGGGCTCTATGTTATCGAAACCTTCTTGCCATTCTCGTACCTAGTCACAACCCAAACGCAATCCCCCTCCTCAGTCCCATCTTTTTTCTTTCTTTTTCCTCTTCGAGAGAAGACACGAATCCCTAAAACTCGCTTCCCTCTCTTTCCAATACTATCCTTACCCTTCACAACCCTTAAGCTTCCTCTTTGAATGCTACCTACATCCCCTTTTGCATAACTATCTACTATGTGGGCCCTAGCCCTCACGTTCTCCTTATCGAGACCTACCCCTCATGTTTATACCCATACTTCAGTGTCTTTGCCAATGAATCAACCCCCTCTTTAATCCCTTTCAGTCGATTGGTTCACTATCAAATCCAAAGAGCTTATAAAGAGACTAAGTCTAACAAACTTTAATCCGTAAAACAAGATGAAGCCCTGCCTTGCTCCCTTTTTCTAGTTCTTTTTTTTTTCTTTTTTCCTCCTTGTCTTAGCCTGTTAGGTTTCATCTAGAGTGGAAACTCTAGTAAAGAAGAGGATGAGTCTATGTATTATGGTTTTGCTGCATTGGTGTCCATGACTCTTTGCTTATTTGAGGAACATTTTGTTCAGCATTCCTTTTCTGCCTTTGAGATAAATTTGGCAATTGGCATTTCAGTATCAATAGCTTTTACACTTGGGCTTATTGCAAATGCTGTTTTATAAAAATTACAGGAAGAATTGTTTAAGAGAAAACCCAAAATCTCAACTTGAGTTTTTATGCTTTATATGTGAATCTATAATTCCCAGATTTCCTTTTCCTAATTCCTACTCTGTTAAGTAGAGTATCTTTAATCTATTTTGGGTTATTACTTCTATAAAGTTTAGTTCTTTCTATAGTTCCATGCTTACTATTTACAGCAATTTATTAGTAAGTTTAGGTAGAACTTATTGAGATTCAACTTAATCACTTGTGGTTTATCAGGGACCTGCAGCACCTCATTAATTACTATGTCCTTAGCTTCAAGACTGAATACCTTGTTCAAATGGGCCAAAGGTCAACAGAATCTACCATGGGTTCTTTAGTTAGAAAGGCTGTAAATAGGATGAATTGATGCAAGCCCTATTGGGTTAGCATTCACCTAAGCCAGGCATCTGAAGGTGTACCTTATATTTTAAAGGCATGGGCCACAAGTAGGGTGAACCTCAAGGTGTAAGCATCATGCACTTTTTCAAACATTGTTATTATCTTGTCTCTATTTTGTATTTTTAGGCAATTCTCTTGGATTTTGTCATCACCATATACTCAGCTTGAACCCTCATCACATTGCATGTTTACTTATATAGGTTTAAAGAGAGACCATCATCCAATGTTGGTCCAAGATATTTAGGGTCTTGAGAGGGGTAGACTGGATACACCTAACCTTTGCATTTTTTTTTTGGAATGTCATTGCTGATTTCTTTGCAGAGAAATATGATTGATTCTATCCTATCAATTTGGCTGTTTTGTTAATGATATCCACTCACAAGTCACAAGTTTGGGAGATAGTAGTACATTAGGGACAATGTTTTAAAAGCGCAAGAGCCAATTTGTGCCTGAGGCGCAAGGCGAGGTGCACGCCTTTCTTTTTAAGCAAGGCGCAAAATTACAAAAAAAAGCTAAAAAATAAAAAAAAGTCAAAAAATTCAAAAAATGCCAAAAAAAAATAAAAAAAAATGCAAAAAGTATTAAACATAATGTTAATAAAAATATAAACTTAAATTTTAAAATAAATGTTTTAAAAAACCTATTATCTAAAATTAAAATACATACACATAACATGTAAAGCGTATTCAAATGAAAATTTAAAAATAAAAGCCAACATATAAAGCATTTTCAAGAATGTAAAACCCACAATCTCTTTTTTTCCTTAATTACATTGCTTCAAGTAGCTAATGTGATGTAAAACATATTGCACTCTTGATTCTATGAGTTGCCTTTGTACCATGCCCCTCGAGGCAAGCCTGAACAAGTCTATGTTAGGGTCTAATTCTTATTTCTCACATAAAAAATAATGATTTTATAACTTTCATTGCCTTTTAAGACGATATTTTATTGTAATGAATGAATGAACAACATTAGCAAATAGGGGGTTCTCACACGTCTGGGCTGAGGCGCAAGGCGCATCAGGTGCACCAGGCGCATCAGGTGCACCAGGCGCATACCCCAAAATGCGCCTTGCTTGTGCACCTAGGCGCACCTTTTAAATCAGCGATCATGGATGAACTAAAAAATCTGCTGATTGTCCATGTTTATAAACAAGAAGCAGCCATGTTCATACACCTTCACTTAAATGCATATCTGTGGAACATGACTACATGTTTATGTCAAACCTTTGTTTGGAAGTGTCATAAGAAGTTAATTGACAACAAAGCAGGTAAGCAGTATAAATGCATAGATAGATAGATGGAAAGAGCACCTTCAACATTTGTAGCTGGCCATTCTTAGCTTGACAAAACTCCTGAAGACCCATCACAAAATGTTATAATATAAAAAATAAATGAGCAAAAAAACAACAACATGATATACTAATAATAAAATAAAATCCTTGAGTGGAAGTAGAATCTGTCTGTGGTACAAAAATGTGTATAAGGTCATAGATAAGTGAATATGCCTTAACCCACCTCCATATCATCAATGAAGCCTTCAATTGACCGATATGGTGTAAAAACAATAAGATCAAATCCGAGGCTCTGCATAAAAAGAAATAAGTACTTGAAACTGATGAATGAAAAAATCAGTGAGATAAAACAATAACATGCAGAGCATATCCATGCCTGAAGAACTATCATCTCATTATTGAGAATCACTTGATGGTCCTGTTGAATCCCCTTACCAAGCTCCTCTGCGGAAACATGATTTTCTTCTACTTTACATGATGCATATATGCAAGTTAACCTGTACATATTAAAGGGCCTAATAAATAAGTCATCTAAAATCCCGATTAAAATATCATGAAACAAACAAAAAAAAAAGAATATCAGATTAAATTATCCCGATTAAAAAAGAATTGTATCACCAATAAGAAACTCTAAGGTATATGGCTAAGATGTAGATTTCACATAAGAAAATTCAATGCATAGATCAATATTACTTTCAAGCACAATGTATGTTCCTTACCAATTATTTTAGACAATCATATTCTGATGAAACAAGAACATTTTCATATGACTTAATATAACCGTAATGTTTTAGAGGATAAAAATTCAAAGAATGTATGGAAATATCAAAAATGGGCACTTACATTATGTGTTTTGGGTGGTGCTCCATGACAGACCATTGCAGATAAAACCTTTTGAAGTATAAGATGGCTGTTGCCTGCAAAACACAAGCTTTTCATTTCCAAGAAAAGGTAATAGTACAAAATGTTAAAAGCAGCCTTTATTTTCTAAACTACAAATTCACACACCTGAATTTTATGTGGGAATCCAAAGGCTCCACAAACTTCTTGAATCTTGTGTTCATAAAATACCCGCATGAGTTTCTCTTCTTCAGTATTAAGTGGCTTTGGAAGGGAATGCTTTTCAGCTAAGATGCAGATAAAATAAAATTTTCACAACCATCAGAATATAGTGATTTTTTTATAAGCTAACTTTCGGGAACTCTTTGTCAAAAGAAAAAAGAAGAATGGCCTTATCAAGCAACTGGGAAACTTCTGGAGAGACATAAATGTTGTCCAAAGAGAAGGATGAAGAACTTAGAAATCTGATACAGAAATTACCATGATTTTTTCCATCAAGCTGAGGTTCTGGGTAAGACAGTGATCCATCAACATCTACTTCAATACGTGTTGCTCCAAACTACAAAAAGTTATCAGTAGCTAGCATTGACGAGAACACATATGCTATGCAGACATGAAATACCAATTAGTAAAACCAACCCAAAATAAATTCCAATGATGAGATAAAACCACCAAAGTATTTGCCTCAGAAGAATGCTGGTATATCCTATTTTCTAATAAAAAGTCAATAAATCATGCCCTAGATATGAAACGGTTGTACCTTGACATTCATTGTCAATATCCCTAATCTTAGATTCTGCTAAGAACATGAAGTATTGATATTCTAGAACTGGTGCAATTCCTGAAACTTTTCCAACAAGCAAGTACTAATTTTACTTCGTCAACATATTCTTGATTAACTGCCTCGCGGAAAGAAAAAAAAAAGAGAAAATACCATCTGCGCATAAAATCGAACGAACTGCATTAACATATTCTATTCAAACAATGCACATAATTTCATTCTAATAACCATTGCCCACAAAAACAAATCATTCCAATAGCCATTTGACCACAGATCGCTTACTGCAACTATAATACTGATAGGATGCAGGAAAAAAGACTAGATCCATACCTGCTCCAGTGTTTTTATAGCTCTTTGATTAGTAGCTTGGTATTTTTCCATCTATACGGATAAAATGTGAAAAAAAAACACATATTAGATAACCAAATTTCTTCTTTTAATTTACAACTTCCATTTCCTACATTAAAGGAGATCTGGTTCAGGAAAGAAAATAGGAAATCTTGAACTGACAACAGCAACGAACATAATGGTATGCTTTACCAGATCGTGTGGGGTGAAAATCCATTTAGCTCGATGGGTCGATGTCTGAAAATCAGCCATGGCGACTGAAACCCTGAATTCAGAAGCTCTGGAATTCAATATACGTATACAATTAAAAAAAAAAAAAAAATCTATGAAGGTCTATATTGTTAACACCAGAGATCGAGAATCAAAATCGAGAGAGACTTGTAGGAAGAGAATAGAAAACAAATTCGAACAGATTAGGGTTTTGGCATGGTTTTGCAAGTGAACCGCGAATCACCATTAGAGAGGCTTTAACGAGGGAGGAGTGCTCTCTCAGTCTCAGGAGAGGGAGGCGCAAAACAGCGCACTGCTAGGGCCATGGGCAAGTTTGGGACGGTAGGGATCTGCCACCAACAAAACGCTCCCAATGCTGCCCCAATATGCCACTGAAGCCGTACATCGGGAACATCTCCCCATTCGTTGAAAGATGTTCCCAATGTCCGACTGCAATGGCTGGTTGGGGCCTATTGGGAGCGTTTTGTTGGTAACAGATCTGAACTCCGTTTAGAAAAGAGTTAGGCTAGTTCCTCCCGATAAACTATTCAAAGAGGCTGTAGTGGACAGCCCTTGACTGACCGACAGTGGATTGGGGCTTTCAGATTAAAATAGCCGTATGGGACCCACCTCGGAAAGCCAGAAGCCGCTGCATTTAGCCCTTCCAAAATGACAGGTGCTTCGACCCGAGTCTAAACCCGAAACCCATTGGCCCAATTCCCAATTGCAGTTGGGCTGCAAACGAGCCGAGCTAAGCCGTGATCAGCTCGAGCTCAGCTCTGGCTTGTCAAGGCTCGAGTTCAGCTCTCGAGCTTCAAGACAAGAACTGTGCCTGCAGCCCGCCTTCCAAGTTCCAAAGTCTGAACTCTGTGTGTGAGAGAGAGAGAGAGAGAGTTGCAGCAATGGAAGCAAAGAAGGTTCACAACGGCAGCAATAGAGACAAGAAATTGAAACGAAAAGAGGTTATTGTTTAATCCTTCTCTGCGTTCTCTTATATTTGTTGATCCTTACTTCTCAATGGAACCAAAATCGATCTTTTTTGTATTTTGGGATCACAAAGCAATTGAAAATTTCTTGCTTTTTCCTCAATTTCAACTGTAACCTATTGCCCAAGGCGATACTGTGATTTCTGCATTTAAACCGGAGTGGGGTGTGTGTTGTATTGGTGTAGATACTGGAAAAGAAGAAGGCTATTGATGAAATTATAAAAGCTGCATCGAATGAGAAGGATCATCTAACTTCTTTTCCACCCTTCCGCCATTACGACAGAAATGGTATAATAATAGAAGACGGGCTTATTTGTTTTTCTTTCTTCTCTTTCTTTCCTCACTGTTTTCGGTGTCTGAAATGCAATTCCTATGTAGAATGTTCCCTCAATAAACTTCAAGTAACTGTGCAGATTCTGTGCAGTCATATTTTTTGTCCTCTTCTAGCGGATATCTGTCAATGTTTGATTGATTAGTTGTGACTCTCTCCCCTTTCCTGTGCCTGTTCTTTGAGATTTTGAAGCAAAAAGCAAGATCTATTTCCTTTTAATTCATTTTGAATGTCATAGAAGAACTTGGTTAAAGAAAAAAATAAGCACATTTTCTATTTGATGTCTGATTATTGGCAATTCATGGAGTTAACTGTATTAAGATAATTTCATACTGTTAGCCTTTACTTTACCACTGCAGTCTCATTTGCCTTCAGTTTCAACTTGCCTTTATGTGATTGTCTGTTCATAATTGATGAGGATTGTAGCTCATAAATAAAATTTGTGGTTCGATAATATGTTAGGTGGAGCCATACCTCTAATTTATATTTGACTACGGTACTAGGGTTATCTGTATACATGGAGTCAGGTTCTGGAGAGCATCTATCCTCTTCTATGAAGCGTTATATTCAGAATCTCCTTAAGGTAGTGAAAATGCAGCGGTTTAACTAGTTCTTTTCTTTTGTTGGATCAGAATGATTTATGCCTTCTCTCCATAATTGTATGATGATATGATACCAAACCAATCAAAAACCTTTTAGGTGAATATGGAGGGCCCATATGGACCAGAATGGCCAACAGAAGAGAAAGTGAAGCGCAGGGAGATGGTTGCTCCAGAGGCTCGCTATATATTTGTTCGTGAGGCTCCAACTGCAAGTATAAATGAGAATTCAACAAAAGAAAGTAATATGGCATGTATTCATCTCACAGGAGATGGAGATCCTCTTGTTGGATTTGTGCACTACCGCTTTATTGTGGAGGAAGATGTACCTCTTGTTTATGTGTATGAACTACAGCTGGAGGCTCGTGTACAAGGGAGAGGATTAGGGAAATTTTTGATGCAATTAATTGAGCTTATTGCCCGCAAGGTAGGGATTTCATTTTCTTCATTTTCTTCATTTTCTTCATAATACAATCTTCACTAAAATAAATAAGAAAATGGTTGGAATAATTTCTTATTGTAAGATTTAATCATATTTTTCATTTATCTTGTTGGTGTCCTATGTTAAATATGTCATTGTTTTTGTATCCTTATCCAACAAGGATAATAAAAATATAAAAAAACAAATTTGCATATTGTCATTAAGGTGAGGATTAGGTTAATTTTCAATAGTATTTCTATATATTGCCTATATGTTTTGACCTACTAATTTCCTTCGGTTGTTTTCTACATACAAACTCAGTATTTTATTAATATTGAATTGTTTAGTTGAGAATAAATTTCATGCATGGTGTTCACATAGTGATTTTGGATCTTTTGTAGAACCACATGGGTGCTGTGATGCTAACTGTTCAAAAAACCAATGTTTCAGCCATGAATTTTTATACAAATAAGCTAAGGTAAATAATGGACTTGATTTTTAACACACTAATGTCTCAATTTGTGGAAGTTAATTTCAGCAAAGGTGTTTTTGACAATACAGATATACAATCTCATCAATTTCACCATCAAGAGTCGATCCATTGGTATGTAATTATATGTTCTTATGTGTCAGAATTTTGAAGTTTATTGTCCACTAATTTATTTTACCTCTTTCCGTCTCTTTTTGCATCACTGCTTTTTTTTTTCAGATAGGGTTGGAGAAGAGTTATGAAATTCTTTGTAAAGCATTTGACCATGAATCCAAATCCAAATTAGAGGTATATCATGTCTGGCAGAAACATATAGATATGTTCTTTGTTTACTAATCTTATCCTTATACTTTTTACTTTATGTCATCTTCCATCATGCGTGCTGAAAGCATGCAACCATAAATGCATACATACAGTCAAATGTTAGTCCAACCATTTTCTTGAACATGTATATGCAATTACTGGTGATTGGTTGCTTGTGAATATTGAACTAAAAAAAGATGAGTTTGATGCTTTTTTTGAGTAACTTATTGATGGAAATCACCAAGGGATGCCTAAATTTCTCATGAAATGTAGTCAGATTGGAAATAGTTTGCTACCCAGTAAAGAATTGTATAAATGTAGTTAAGGTCTAAACACTATCTCTGGGCCAACATGATAGAAGGATTTGGAAGTGGGATTATTCAGGTTCTTTCACATTGAGGTCCTTTTTTAAGAAGCTAAAATCACAACCCAGAAACAAATTCCAGAGCTTCAAGCATAGCTTTCAAGGCGCCAAGGCGAGGCTGGGCATCAGGGGGGCGCCTAGGCGTCGCCTAGGCGATGGATTTTTTTATATAGAAAACATAGATCCTAGGGGGTAGTTCCCTAGGTACCATAGCCATATTTCCTTAATAATTATTCATAATTTTCATAAGAAAAGTATAGAGTTCATGTTAAAGTGTAGAAAATCAACATATTCATGAGAAGAAAAAAAGAAGGAAAAGAAAATTCAAAAAATATAGGGGCTGAACCCTTATTTAGTAGTAGTAGACAAAAATTTAAGTTCTTCCTTACTTATTGGTTCAGGTTTTAAAGTCTTTGAGGGTTCAATACAGCATTTAGCAATGTTTGTATTGATTAAATCCTAACAAATAAGAAAATAATAAAAACAAATTAGTATATAAACACAAAAAATGAATATTTTAGTTTAATAGTGCCTATTTTATAATTATAATGTCAAAAAATAAAGAATAAAAAAATATTTTACAATGCATAGTACAAAACTGCTTGGCGATTAGGCGAGGTGAGCCTCAAAAGGTGCCTTGTCGCCTAGGCGTCGCCTTGACAACTATGGCTTCAAGATATGGCTATTAACTGTACCATGAAAAGTGTTTTTTTTTACATCAACAATAATGTTAGAGAAGCATTATTGTAAATAAAACACAAATGAAGGTTTGGGTATAAGAAGACTAAGAGAAGTGAATTTAACATTGCTTGGTAAGTGGTTTTGGAGGTTTGGTCAACAAGGGAGTTCTTTGTGGAGAGTAATTCAAGCAAAATATGGCACAAGAAATGAAGGGTGGGATCCAGGTGAAGCAAATCAGTTGTATGGCTACTCAGTTTGGAAAGGAATTGAAAAGAGCTACAGTGTTTTCAGTAGAGAAATTAAGTTTGAAGTGGGGAGGGGAACTGGGGCCAGGTTCTGAAAGGATTGTTGGTGTGAGAATATTTCATTAAAGGATAACTTCCCAGAACTCTTTGCTGCTGCTATTGATAAGGAGGCGAAAGTGGCAGACTATGTGCAGTTTCAAAATGGGGAATACATATGGGATCTACAGTTCAGAACTCAGAAGATACCTGAGTGATTGGGAGATTGAACTGTTTCGAAGGCTACTCCAGAAGCTGTAAAACATGCAAATTGATAGGAATTCAGAAAGATAGGAGGGTGTGGTGAGAGGATAGTAAGTGTCAGTTCACGGTTAAATCTTTTGTAATAAGTTGATTCGAGAGGAAGAGCGGGATTTTCCTTTAAACATAATCTGGTGCAGGCATATCCATAGTCGTCAAGGTGACACCTAAGCGGGTGCCTAGGCGACAAGGTGCCCTTGGAGGCTCACCTCGCCTAATGCCAAGCAGTTTTGCACATTGTGCTATAAAGTACTTTTATGTTCTTAATTTTTTGAAATTAGAATCATAAAATAGACATTATTAAACTAAAACATTCATTTTGTGTGTTTATATACTAATTCCTTTTCTATTTAATGCCATATCATTTGTTAAAATTTGGGCACTTAAGTCATTTATAATTATAACTACTTTGACTCAAGTCCTTTTTGGTCCATCTCTAGCCCTTCTACCCTGTTTTAACTTGAAACAGATCACTTCTTCTTATGGATGTTGTTAGTGGTCTTCTATGCACGTGACCAAACCACCTTAATTTACTTTCTCTCATTTTTTCATCTATTGGAGCTATTCCTAGGTTCTTTCGAATAACCTCATTTTGTCACCTATATGCATTTCTGTCACACTCATTTTTTGGACATGTTGTTTCTTGACTTTCCAACATTCTGCTCCATACAACATAGCTAGCCTTAAAACTGTTTTATAATATGCTTCCCCTTCTCTTTATGCCTTTTCTCTGTTTAAAAAAGAGCCTATCTCTTATTTTTATTCATTATTTGATGGGGTGGTGTGGAGTTTGGGTTTCATAAGAGGCTTGAGAGAATGGGTGCTCCCTTCTTGTCACTGAGTTATTGCAAATTCTTTATTCAATTGTTGTAGACTCTCTCATGTCTACTGAGAAAATTTGGACTACCGACCCCAAAGGTTTCTTTTCTTGCGCCTCTTTCTTCCAGGCTAGTATCACAAATTTCTAATGGGTCCTCCTTTTTGGTGAGTGAAATTTGGTGCAAACTAGTTCCTTTAAAAATAAAGGTTCTTTGTTGGGAGGTTTATCATGGAAAAATCAACACTCTGAACTTGTAGCAAAAAATAAGAAAAAAAAATGTGTAGTTGTCCCCAAACTGGTGCACACTCTATAAGGCAAATGGTGAAACTGATTATCACTTATTAATTCTTGCTGTTTCATTACCTCTATTTGGGAGTAGTTCTTTTCTCTCTTGGGTGCAAGTGGATTCTACCTACAAGTTTGGTTAGTTTGTTTGCAGGTGAAACTTTTAGGTGGCCAAGGGAAAGAGGAAGAGTAATGAGATGCATTGGGCTGCTATACTTTGGATAGTTTGGGAAGAAAGACATGTGAGACTTTTCATGGAAGAGGAAATAAATTTGGAAGCAATTTTAGAATGCATTGTAATAAGGGTGATTCATTGTGTTAAATCTATGGACTTGTTCTCACCCTACACTTTTAATGACTTAAGAAGGAATTGGAGGGAAGTGGCTTTGTCATCTATAGGAAAGAATAGAACACTTAAAAGCTTCGGAGCTATCTTTGGAAAATTTTGTAAAACTTAATTTTGATGGGAGCAGACTTGGTAACCCAAAACCCTCAGGCATTGGGGAGTGGGGGGTAGGGATAAAGATGCAAGTATAATAGCCATTTCCTTGGGTCCTATTGGCCAAGGAGATTCCACTAGAGCTTGCTTGCTGTACTCAGTGGGGCCCAAATATTAAAAGAGTTAAATTTGGAAAGGTTGATTTTGAGGGGCACTCTAAAGTGGTGGTAAGCTGGCTAAAGAATGAAAAGAAGGCAACATGGATTTATAGAGAAGCAGATGTAACTTTTCATTGGGTTCCAAGGGATGCTAATGGGTTGGCAGGCCCTTAAGCTAGGCAAGGGGTAAATAGGGGGCAATTGTATTGGGATCATTTGTAATGTCTGCACTCCCTAGCCCTTTGGATCCTCTTTGTAAATTATTGTTTATATTAATGAAATGATATATCATTAATTATAAAATAAAAAAATTTCTCTTCGGTCTAAATGGTATCGTCTATCACACAGGACTCCAGATGCACTCCTCCATTTTGTCCATCCTGCTCTAATTCTATTAGCAACATCCTTCTCAAAATTTAGGGGGTGTTTCAGAGATGAGGGAGGTAGAGTGCTGGCCCTGTATTCAGGCCCTATAGTGGTGGGAGACTCCTTAAGAGAAGAAGTTTTTGCTTTACTCGAAGGTCTCAGATTGGCAAAGCGTTGTGGGTTGCAACAGTTAGAACTGGAGGGAGACTCCAAACTGGTAATAGGCTGGTTGCAATCTAGAAGCTTGGGCACGTCGCTTTTCAGACACCAGTTAAGGGAAATCTCAACCTTAACAAGGGAGATTGGGGTGAGGTTTATTTGGGCAAGAAGATCAGCAAATGGTTTGGTTGATGCTTTAGCAAAGCAAGGAGTCAATAGGCAAGAGTTGTTTTGGGCCTGTTTATGAGACAGTTTGTATCAAAGGGTTCTGCATCTGGCCCTTGGATGGTGGGAGTTGTAATTTTTATCGATTGTTATAAATGAAAGTTGTCGTTTTCCCATCATAAAAAAGAAAAAAAAAACATCCTTCTCAATCTCTCCCTTGTTATGAATTATCGAACCTAGGTACTAGAAAAGGTCACATTGCATTATCCCTTGATCCCCAATCCTAAGTGTATCCTCATTTGCAGTCCTATTATTATTAAATTTAAACATCATATATTCTGTTTTAGTCCTAGTTATTTTAAATCCTCTTGTTTCTAAGTTATTTGTCCGTAAACTTAATTTTGCATTAAGTCCTTTGTTAGTTTCATCAATTAAGATATTGCATTATAGCAATACAATATATTACCATTAAAAAAGTAAGGGAAATTCTTACCGTGGAGTGAGTGCATTGAATGGTAAAGTATTCTCTAAATAGGATAGTTTGAGTGTAGGAAATTGGAAATTAGTTTTGGACTAGTGAGTAGTGAAGGGTGGGAAGATGTTTTGAAGTTTGCCCAAGATTATTTGGACTTTCTTTATCCAAAGATTTAACTGGAGGTTAATATAAAGAAGAAAATTGAGAAAGTAAACTTCTAATCTGGTTTGCAGGCATCTATTGCTAGAAGAAAAAGAAAGTACACATTATCTTGTATCTAGGAGGATGCAAGAGTCTAGATTCTTGGTGACCTTGTTCATTTCTATAATCCCAATATTTTTCTTAATTCACTTAAATTGTATACATCTAGAGGAACCATTGTTTCCATGGTTGATCCCCTTGCATCCATAATTTCTCAAGATAAGGCCATTATGGGTGATAAACTAAAGAAGTAAGGAATCAATATTTCCAAACAGCAATTAGGTGTATTTTGTGCCCAAGAGATGAGGTAACATGAATTCTTTATTTTATTTTTTTATTGTGATGTAGCTAGGGATTTTATGGAGTTTCTTCTTTTTTCTTTCTAGTTATTGTGGTGTGTCTGTTAAAATCTTATGAAATTTCATGTTGTGGCCACTGGCCAGTGTTCCTTTTGGAGTTTGAGGTTGCTTTCTTGGATTGTTTCTCCACTTCATTTATATTTGGGGCTCATGAAAAGAAGGGGACAGGATAAAGGACAAATTGAAGACTTCTCTGTGGCTATGTTTCACTTTTAGTTCCGACTTGAAGCTTTGGGTTGAAGGAACTCAATTGTTTTGAGTTTCAGGATTATAGGACGAGTGCAGTTTCTATTTTGTTGGAGGTATGGTGCAGAATATTTTTATGGACTGTTTTCTGGATTTAAGTTGTAAATTTGGTCCATTTTGTATTTCAAGATTAATGAATAGTAGAAATGGAAGAAACAAAGGAAAAAGAATTGGGGCATAAGAGAGTGAGAGCTACGCTTCACTAGATATTTTCTTTTTATTAAATCTCAATAATAATGTAAAACTACAATAGTATCCTCTTTTAATTGGCAGACAATGATCAAGTGCAAAATACCCTATGCAGTATGCTAACAAAGACGTTGGAGGGTTTATTCTTTCATACTCTTATACAGCTAAATATACAATTTGAATAGAGAACAAAGCTATCACAAGTGTTTGTTTCTGCAGAAAAAATGACGACAAAGCCTTATACCAACTTTATGGGGTTGGGCTTATGCAAAAGTATATATGGTCAATAGTATGTTCACATATGGAAGCTAAGAAGGGCTAATTGACATCAACCACTTAGTGGCTGCAGCTCTATGGAACCATTTCATCAATTCTGCATGTTTGCATCTAGCATTGTATGTTGTTGATACTGGTAACTTTGAAAGTAAAAATTGTAGAAAAATAATAGAAAAGAGAAGCATGAGAATAAGAAGAGAAGAAGATGATGCAAGAAAGAAAAAGCAAAGGTGTAGCAATAAGCTGTTCCATCCAATATGTAGAAAATGTTACAACTATGTAAAAGGACAATTATATCCTCAGCAGGTTGGGTTAAGTGGTAAACCCGCATTGATCCAACCCTTACTGGTTAAGATTGGGTCAGCCTTGATTGGATTTCAGGTTGGGTTGGGACTGCCCCATTCTAAACCTGGCCTGTTGGCACATGGAATTGAAACATTTGTAAAAATAGCCTTGGTCGAGTATAGATTGTACTATTTGTAGGGAGGGTCAGATCAGGTTTGGATTTCTAATTCTTTAGACAGGTCTGTTCAGTTTTGGGTTAAGAGTGTCTTCAGGTCAGGTTTGGGTTGAGCCTTACCTGTACTCTACCCGACCAGTTGACATCTCTAACCCTGATATACTAGTTGTTCTCTACAATAAATGAAACTGTTTACTAATGGTTCTATATGTTTGTATGTCGATTGTATTTTTATAAAAATTGATGTGGGCATTATATTGGTCAAAATTGACTAAACCTCTATTTATTGATGATAGCCCATGTGCATGTCTCTTTGTTGTTGATCATCATCATTGTTATTATTGTTAGTTTGTTACTATCATCGTCATTTTTATTTTGGGTGGGGGAGGAAGGTTGGTGCTTGCATGTGTCATGACAGATTGGTGGTTAACTTTTATTTATGGGTTGGGCTTATGCTTTAGTGCAGCAAATTGCTTATGAATGTACTTGGCTGATAGACTAGTGCTTAATTTAATACAGGAAAGAAACTTTTTTATTGATGAGTAACTTCTCCAGCCAACTACCCAAACTTTTGAAAGGTATGCTTTCTTATTGCTGCTAAACTGCATGGGTCTTACTGTTGAGAAATTGTGTTTGAAGTTTTAAAGGGAGTTATCTAAGTTTAAATAATCTCTTTGTGTTTTTGATTCATAAATTTTTATATTTAGGGCTGTTTTCCCCCAAATGTAGAGCCAAGGAGTATCAAAGAAACAAGCATGGTTGCCAAGGAGTTGGGTTTAATTGGCATTACATGTCCGGTGCTCCTGATCTTTATACCTTTTCATGTCAATAAAATAAGAAAATCACACAAGACTAACTTCCATCCATTCTGGATGATGATTTGACAAGTTTATTATTGAGGAACTTGTAAAATATAGCTTGCATCAAATTTACTCAAGAGAAGAATCCATGAATTCTAGGAAGGATGGTAGTGCATTTTACCACATTGTGACACTATTTCTTTTATCTTTGGCTATTCTCGACGTATTTACTTATTTAGCTTATTTTATGTTATCACTGATGAAAATAGATTAAAAGGTTGCAAAAATGTAGAAACTAAAAAAATGTATAAGCAATTAAGGGAATTAATAAAATAAAATTGAATGGAGCATAAAATCAGAAGAAAGCATTAGCTTTTGAAACAAGGATGGACATATAGACACATGAAGGGTGAGGCTTAATCAGAGTCAGAGAAAAGATTACAGACACATGAAGAGTTGGATTACCAGTCTGAGAAAGGATGAGCATTCTTTCCATTATCATTTACTAAGCAAACAGTAAATCTTCACTGAGGAAAATAAGTGACCTCAAATCACACATTTGATGCTGCTGCTAAAAACCTTAATTTTTTAAAGATAACTACAATTGTAAACCATTTCTTTTGTAGGGACTAAGAATTAAGACCCTAACATGGACTTGTTTGGACTTGCCTCAAGCGACTTTGTACAAAGGCAGCTCGTAGAATTAGAAATGAAAGATGATTTTTAACATAACATTATCTATTTGTTAATGCAATTGGGAAAGAAATAAAAAAAATCAAAAGTTTGACATGCTTGAACTATTGGGTGCTTGAATATGTTTAACACATTATGTTTGATTTTATTTCTGTATTTTCACTTTAAATATGTTTTATTATATATTATGTTTATGTAATTTAATTTTAACTAATAGTTTTGTTTTTTAACATCTAGTTTTAAATTAAAGTTTGCATTGTTTTTAATTAATACTATGTTTATCATTTTCCTGATTTATTTTGATTTTTTACGTTTGTTGCAAATTTTTGAATTTTTTAAAAATTGTGCCTTGTTTCAGAAAGCCGCACGCCTCACTTTGCGCCAAATGCCCTTTGCACTATTTCGCGCCTTGTGCTTTTAAAACACTGGACGCATTTTAGACCAGATCCACTTTCTCTCTTTCACACACAGACATAAAGTAGTTCCTATTATCTTCTGCACTTGATCTGGTTGCATCTCCATGCTTTTTGGTTAAGGGCCATGTTTCCCTTTTCCAAACCTTTTCATTTTTCTTAGTATGTCTTTATAAACCATTCTAATTTATCTTTGTGGAAATACAATTTAAATGTCAATTTGTCCTTTATTTGGCACTTGTCAAGTGTCCTTTCATTATTTTCTAGACTTTCCAAAAAATGCCAAGCACTGCTGCATATTTGGAGGGATACTTAACTTGTGTTCTAACCTAGTTTTGATATGGCTTATTGTCCATGATCCCGCAACCTAGTTTTGATATGGGCTTAGCACGGTTGAATTGAATTAGGTAGATCATGATGGCTGGCTGCAGTCACCGCCAGCGTTTTAACTTTGAAGACTCGGACCGGACTAAAGACCAGAATGCCTCATGGCTCCCAGATTTACTGGTTAATCGGCCAGTTTGCCCTTCAGGCTTCAACCTATGAAAACCTGCCAAAATTGTCATTAACTGTGAGTCTGAAAGACCATTGGTTCACGATTTTTATGGGCTGACCATCCAGTCTGGGTCGAGTCTTAAAACTCACCGCTATCTCTTTAAATTTTAATTTTTGTTTTATGACAAGCTGTCTTTCCTTTAAACCTTTTTTTTTTTTTTTTTTCCTTTAGCTCTCTACCATGGCACCATCAAAGGGCCTTATTGAAAGATTTTGTTTAAAACGTCAATAGTATTAGAAAACCTTTAGCTACAGCTGCAAAATATCACCTTCTCCAAATTCCAATCCGGTCCAGGGTAGTCTGAAATCCATTTATATTTAGATTGAATATGGTTTCACTCCACTCCAATCCAACCCAACAATCTGATAATATCTGAATATATATGCCTCATGCTTGTATCAACCATTAATTTAAGTTGTCTTTCGGTAGAATTGGTTTGAATGTTGTATCCTTACTAAAACAATTAAACAATCATAGGTTCTAGTCTTGTAGTATTTTATTCATGGTAATGATATACTTATTCTTGGAATAAACCCAACGTGGTTCTAGCCTTCTAGGCTCAATGCCCCTGCCTTGGCTCATGTGGTAATGCTGGAAAGAACGCTGTAAACTAGTTATGGAACCTGTTTCATTCAACCCCCTCTCCATATTGGTTTCAGACCAAGCCCAAATTACTGAATTGATTCATTTTAAAGTAGAGTAGGAGAGGTCCTCTATACAACTCGTTGGACAGCATCAACCCTGTATGATTCATCGGCTTTTTCCTCATACTATTAAAATAAATGTAGATAGAGCTGTGGAGTCTGTGAATTCTGGCATTGGTATTATTACGCATGATCATCGTGGACCTCTTGTCTGTCTTTGCACTCTCTATTTGCCTACCGGCTACCACATGCTGACTTTGAGATTATGGAAGCCAAAGCCTTGAAGGCAGGATTGCAGATGGAAAAAGATCTGTGCCTTTCTCACATCATCCTTGAAGGAGACACAAAAGATTGTTCATCTTGTGGAATCCTCTCTTTAAGGTTCCTTGGTGATAGCATACCATTGTCGCAGATTGTAAGGAATCTTATAGTTGGTCATCCACATGTGCATTTGGTTGTATGCTTGATTGTGATCAAGGTTCAAAGTATTGAAAATGCAAGGTGTCTCACAAAGGCAATTTAAAGAGACGTATTAGGACACACATAGATACAAGTGAAAAAATGAAGACAAACATGAATACACAAGAAAATCCAAAACAATTCTTCAAAAATATATTAACAACAATAAAAACAAGTTTTATATGACTAGCTATTTATTTAAACATAAAGAACATACTTTAATGGTTTATAATTATATAAAGTATCAGGACATAATTGTTAACCATTGAAAAATAATTGAAGAACTAAAATGTGCTTGTATATATACTGATATTTATTAGTTGATATTTATTATATATAAGTTAGAATATATACCTTAATTTTTAATGAATAAATATAATTTATATTTATATTTATTAATATATAAATTTTAATAATCAAATTTTAGCATTTATTGAGAAACATCTACTAAGAGAAAATAGATTACTTAAAAATCAAAATACGTATTATGAAGACAAGCAATTAAGGTATGGCATAGTGGCCAAAGTACATTGTGAAATTTTAAACCTTGGCAATATTCACACATGCAAGTGGCATGGGGTTTGTTATGTATCTATAAATACAGCACCAGGCTGATTGAATAATGATATAAAGAAATTATTTTCTTCTTCCCATCTTGCTTGTCATTTTACATGGTATCAAAGTTATTGCTACAAATCAAGAAGCTCTTCCATTCCAGTTTACAACTGTGATTGGTATGGCAGCAAGTGAAATCACTGATGACCAAACCAGAGCTGATATAATAGCAGATCCAGACTCTTCTTACTACTTGCATCCGTCGGACAAGCTGGGAGCAATGCTTGTATTAATGCCTTTTAATGGATACGATTATTCAACCTAGCGAAGGGCGATGATCAATGCACTTTGGGCAAAGAACAAAGGGAGAATGGCTGTTCAACACACCCTAAGAATTCTTAGCCTCACTGTACAGTTGGAGTAGGTGTCAGCTCGGAATTGATGCCAATACACGGCCGAGTGTTGATGTTTTAGGGTGGGGGTGTTTGTTATTTTAAATTATATAGGGTTGTAGTGGAATTTAGAATTTTACAGTGTGGTACAGTGTATTTTTCCGAAGAACAAAATGGGATTCATTGATGGAATGATAGAGAAACCCTTTCAATCCAAGGTCAGTGAACTATGTGCCTGGAAACGTTGTAATTCAATAATAAGGTCAATGAACAAACCACTGCTTAGGCACCATTCTTGGACAAACCTTTCAGTTACCAACACCACAACAACACCTCCAAAGATATTGAGAAGCAAAGTTGTACATCAAAAAGTCCCATCGTTCTTGCCCACAGCACCCTTGCAAACTTGCAATAAATAAATATATGAGCTACCTCTTGCGTGGCCTCTCACTTTCTTAATGTGGTTGTCCATACTCCATACCAAGAAAGCTTCTTTGGTGCTACAGTTTTCCACACTTTGGTCTTATGGAATCTCTCCAACTCTTCCTAACTTAGCCTATTGTAGAAAGATTTTAATGTGAAATTTTTTATCTATTAGGTTTGACTCTGCTAATCCTTTGCATCATCTCCATTCACTGCCCTATCTCCTAGTCATTCGGGTTCCTTCTAAAAAAGCTGACACCAGTTGCTAGGAGTTCACATCGTCTGTCCCCCACAAATGGGGAGTGGCGTGGCAAATTGCTATTGGTCGGGGACAAAAAAATATTCTGTACCAAGGGACAGATGATGTGGATTCAGTTGCCAGCATCCCTATCATAGGAAAAGACATAAGACGTCTTAGATCATGTCTTCCTTGTTCTGTGCGATCTCAAAGAGAGTTGGGAATATCTCTTTAAGAGATTGATTTCTAGACCAACTATCCTGCCAAAATTTTATCCTTATTTCATCTCCAACTACAAACTTGATAATCTTTCTAAATTCTCTTGCTAATTTATGTGGACCCTCCATATTGCACACAGTTATTATGTTGATCTCTCCCAGTTCCCAATTCAGATTGCTTGAACCATGTTTTGCCAAAATAGTTCTTCACCACAAATTGTTAAGTTGAAATTTTTAATTCCCCCCCTGCCTTCCTCGAGTTGCAAACCTTACTCCACTTGACCAGGTGGAAATTGAAATCATCCTTCCACCTCCACCCTTTTCACAAGAAATCTCTCATTTTCTTTTCAATCATCTTGACTGTATTTATCGGGGTTGGGAATAAGAATAATAAATATGTAGTTAGAGAAGATAGAATACTTTTGACTAGGGTTAAATTTCTTCCTTGTGGCAAGTATCTTGTTTTCCAGGAGATTAATTTCCTTTTAATTATCTCCATCACCACCTCCCAAATCTTCTTTGAAATGCATCTCTGTCCAACATCTTGTATGGACCTATAGCTCTTGTTCATATCCATGGTCTAGGAAACCAACCCATCACATCACAACAAGAAAAGGTCTACTTGAGAATGGTGTAGGCCTGATGGTTCAGCATTATTTACTCCCTAGCAAGAATATCCAGTAGATGGGTTAACCTTTTTTTAAGCCAATATATGAGTTAGCCTTGTGTTTTCCTCATGGTTTCCCTATCTTTATTTCCCATATGGATTCATATTTTTAACAATTAAATTAATTTTTAACCTACAAAAATGGAAAACAATCAACACACATTACAATAAAACCCCCTCCTAGGTCTTCATTTTTTTCAATAAAATCTATCATTACTCTCTAATATTTTTTTGATCAATATTATTACCCTCTAATAAAATCATTCTTAACCCCACTCCATCAATAGTATTACTTTGTAAGTTGTAGCATCTCCCCTCTCTTATTAAATCCCTTTTTTTCCTCTTAAGTCCCCTTTTTGACTCTCTTAATAAAGGAAGGGTATAAAATATATGGTTTTTGGGTCAGGTTAAGGGTGAACCCAACCTTAAATATAGAACCTAACCTGAATAAAAAAATTATGTTAAAACCCAAATTTGCCAAATAATGTGTGGAATCGAGACAATTAAACTTATCAGTGCACTTGATTGTATGATTGCCACAATGTTGTAACTGGCAAATAGAACTAATGATGGTGTTTAAACCTCACAATTGGCAAGCCCTGGTAGGGGAGCTCCTGATGAGTAACTGATCTTGGCCCTAGTATTTGGATTGAAATTGACTTAACACCTCTTTTTTCCTCTCTCTAGCTTTAGTTTGAAATTAACTTAACACTTCTTTGGTGGCACTTGATATCATAGGGAGTGGGTATGAGAGACTGACATTTTGCACCCAAAACCAGAAGAGGAGAAAAAGGTTTTAAGAACCTTCATTAGAGAACCCAATAAAGGACAGATTTCAATAAGCACCCAACCAAAAAGCACAGAATGACCCAATAAAAGACACAAGTGGACTTGGATTGGTTCGAGAGGATCGAATAGACTTTTTGGTTTTTTCAAACCATGATTTTCAATTTTATTTATTTATTTATTTTTTTGAGAAATTGGATGATCCATCAAATAGAACTTATGAAAATCATCTGGATTTTATAATGGGGGGACTTGAACTTGTAACAATTGAAGCATAATACCACATCTTACTTTCAATTTATCTGATGTCTATATTGACTTAATATGTATATTCTTGCATTGCAAAATTGCAATTTACATGCCACAAAAATGAGGACCATGTATGCAAACAAATGGAACCATTCAGCCACAATCTGCATAGGTGTTAAAATAAATAGTATTTTATATTTCCAAGTTTAAGGTCACTAGTCATTGGGCCAACCTAGTAGTTGATCAAATAGCCTTTCTGGGTTTATAAATGCTCTAGGTCTGACAACATTGGACACATGATACACAATGGAACAAGCTCCGACCAACCAATTTCAATCCATGACAAGCCAAAAAAATCATCCCAGCAAAACTTACTTTGTAGCATTTGCTAAGATGAAAGGAAATACATCTCCACTACATAAAAGCCACTTTGGCTTGGTTTTTGACTGAGTGGTCACTCTTCCTCTCCATTTTGATGTTTTTATGTTAAGAAACCATTCCTTTAATATATATAGAGAGA